GCAGGGCCTGGGGGGAGCAGGGGGGCAGGAAAGGAAGGGAGGAAAGAGGGAGTAGCTGTGGAGGGAGAAGCTGCGGAGGGAGAAGCGGGGGTGTAAAGGGACCCTCATCCTCGGAGGCGCAGGGCCAGAGGCGGGAAGCTGGTGGCCCAGGGGGCACGCCAGGTCAGCCGGGCAAGAAGCAGGAGGGACAGAGGAGGGCGGAGGAGACAGAAAAAGAAAAAGAAAAAAACAGAAAAGAAGAACTCCATTGAAGAAGTAGCGAGGTGTCTTAAGGGTGCACGTCTCCACTTGTAGGAGACATGGCTTTGACCTGTCCCCCCGCCCCCCCATCACCACCCCCTTTCTTCTTCCTCTCCTGCCTGCCAACCGCCGAACTGATTAGACTGTAATTAAGGCCATAAAGCCCTCAGATTATCCACCTGTTTATTCACCAAAGTCGGGGTCTCATCAAGCAAATTAGCTGCTTCCCGGCTGCACATTGGGCCTGGAGCTCGCCTGATTAATGGAGTTTATTGGGAGCTGTTAAAAGCATTAACTGGAGAAAATCTCGGCAATTCGTCATATTTAAGGGATGGAAATTAAATCTTGCTATGCAAATGAGAGAAAAAAATGCCAACCATTTTGGGGGGCTCCTCTCTGCGTATTCTATTTTCCTTAAATCCTGCTCAGGAAATCGGCATGAACACAGGAAGCCACTGTGTGGACCTAAAGTTATCAAACATCTTCCATGCCACCTTATGTGGCATCATGATGACGGGGAGTGGAAAAGAAACCACAAGAATGCCCCGGTTCCCAACGCAGAGAGATTGTTTTAGGGCACCTATTCCCAACAAGAAATCCCATTTTTTTTTCAAAATATATTTCATTGATTTTCCACAGAGAGGAAGGGAGAGGGACAGAGAGTTGGAAACATCAATGAGAGAGAAACATTGATCAGCTGCCTCCTGCACACCCCCCACTGGGGACATGCCCACAAGCAAGGTACATGCCCTTGACCGGAACCAAACCTGAGACCCTTCAGTCCGCAGGTCGATGCTCCATCCACTGAACCAAACCGGCTAGGGCAAGAAATCCCATATTTAAATTAAAGTTACTATATCCGCCTACAGAAATGAGGGAGTTGGAAACATCAATGAGAGAGAAACATCCATCAGCTGCCTCCTGCACACCCCCCACTGGGGACGTGCCTGCAAGCAAGGTACATGCCCTTGACCGGAACCGAACCTGAGACCCTTCAGTCCGCAGGTCGACGCTCCATCCACTGAGCCAAACCGGTTAGGGCAAGAAATCCCATTTTTAAATTAAAGTTACTATATCCACCTACAGAAATGAGACAGGCACAGTAACTTTCACGGGAGGAGTCCTTCCAGCGGTTCAGCATTTGATTTGGGGGGTGAGTGATAAAATCAACAGCTAACAGAGAGGGGGGGGTTCCCCGTTAGCTAAGAGCCCCAAGGAAGGAGCACAGGAGAAACACGGTAGAGGGACACGAGAAAGCACCCCAAATAACGCAAGATCCTTATGAGGTGGCCATGGAAAATGTCTAGGTACCCCGTGTCTGTCCTCACCACTGTGGTTCCTGGGACAGATCTGGGAAGGGGTGGTTAAGGAAATAAACCAGGGAAGTAGGGAAATCACTCACGTGGAAAGAGGAAGCCTGGTGCAAACTGAAGACATAATCCAGACTTTGAAACATACACACCAACTGTAGGTGCTGCCTGGTGAGGTCAGGGCCGCACAAATGCTTCTTAATGGTGGCAGTTACGGAAGGGAAGGGAGGGTGATTTCAGGATGGTAGTTATTCTTGAAAAGGGGGACGTCTTTTCTACAAGAGTGAATAACAAAAGTCCATGCAGGGGTGTCTTCTATTTCAACAAACTATGGGAAATAAAAGTGTGCAATGAATACATGTTTTAGTCGATGCAAAACTTACAGTGATGTTAATGTGTCGAAATTTATTTTTACATCTTTTAAATCATTTCTTTTTGAGAGAGGCATTTTAAGGATTACTGTACTTTGAAATGTTTACATTATACATCTAAGGACAATATTACGTGTTTTATAATTTCAGTAAAGTATATTGCATTAGAGCATATAAAACCTAAATGCTATATGAGACCAAAGGGACAGGCACAGCTAATAGAAAATTAGGTCAGTTTTAAGAACATTCTACCATGATATCTCTTAGGGATTCAGTTCTAAAATAATGGATGGATTTTTATAGTTTTTCTCACTAATGTTCTTCAAAATAGATTTTCTAGATAATGCTAACTTTTGTTATTTTAAAAACTTAAAGTGTTGAGATTTATTACTTTCTCTCACATTAATGAAGTCACAGTTGGCTAAGGAAAGTAACATCATTTATATTAACATTTATCTTTTAAAAGTTCAAAGAAATCTCACTTTATATTGCCCTCCCCTTTGGTGACTATAACATAGCTTTGTGAAACTAAAAAAATGTAAATTTGACATCTAGAAAATTCAATAGCAACACCCTAAAGCATAAGTAACCTTGAAATATCATCTTCATTTGTCTTAATCTTTAAAAATCTTTACATTATTTGTTTACTGTCTCTGCAAAATTCCAATATATTCTAAATATGACCCACAAGAATCCCATTCTGTTTCTATCAATACTCTGCATAACATTACTTGGCTTATAACGCGATGATTTTGTAACAAATGAACTGTAAACCTTTTAAATGATGATTTTATTTGCAAAATTAAATAAAAATAGTTCTAGATAGTGATTAAAATTTCTTGGTAAATTCATCTGATATTACCCACTGAATTATTTAGAAGGCATTTTATACTCATGTTCTAAGTATTAAGCGATTATTCAGTAAAAAGGCATATATGTAAATGTAATTCATTTTTGTCCAGGCCTAAAAGGACTTATTTCTCCCATAATCTTGAAATAAAACTTGAAAAAAAAACCACAATTATTTTTATGCTAAGGATTGTTCATTTGTTAGCTTTGCTTTTAATATTTGGCTTAAACACATAAATGAGAGAAGAGAGACAAGTACATTCTCTAAGGACATTTAAAAACACATTTTGCTATGAACGCCATTTCAGAAACTATTTTTAAAAACACATTTTGCTATGAACACCATTTTAGAAACTACTTTGTCTCACATTTAAAAAAAATCAAAACATTTAAAAATAACATGACGCTGGTCTGAGAATACTCGTCATCACGGTATCACGTGCCTAGCAGTCCATTTAGAATATGGGTATTTCGGCACAGAGATAATTTACCTTTAGAGTTGGCTTCTGAGCTACAAATGAATGGCTATCACTTATTGTGATTTGTATTTCTGATCTCTCGAGTGGGATAGATAACGAAGGTCAAAGTGGTCCCGGATGAAAAGAAACTTTTAAAGCGTTTGGAAAAGTTAATGAATTAGATTTCCTTTCACGGGAAGATATGAGGATTGGGAGATGGGCTCCCCTCAGCCAAATCAAGAATATTTGACAGGAAAACTCCAAGTTTCTTTTTCCCACCAGATAAGCTCCCTCCCGTAGCAAGAGATGGTAATTCGCAGGAACCATTCTATTAGCTCGGAATACGTTTCATACGCAATAAACTTTAAGTGGACTCAACCTGATTTTTGCTGTGTTCAGTTCATGTAGCTCTTTGTGGCGGCTTCGGAATGCTTCTTAGAGAAATATCCCCTTCACTTTACAAAACATGTTTTCCACTGTGAAGAAAATGACAATGTTACTCTTAATTATTGCTTTTAAGCTTTGCAATAATAATGAAAGTTCCATGAAATGAACAAAAGTAAAAAAAAAAAACATTCCTTTTTTCCTTACTAGCCCTTAAATGATTTATGAAATAAAAATGCTACTTCGGTTTGCTTTGTATAACCAGTCCTTCCTTCACCAAAGAGCCTCTATCTTATTAAATATTCAGAATACTAGGATATAAAAGCAGCTCTGTCTGTATCCATTTTGGGGGATTTGGGTAAAAATTCAGTAAAAACAAAGTGTTCGGGACAGTGATCATAGGTAATAGGATCAATTGGCTTTAAAAATATTTGTATTTGTTTTCGTAGAACAGTATCTGGAATAAAGAAATAGGGCATCAACATGCCAGCTTGTTCATAATATTCAGCCAGTTCACTTAAAATACTATATTTCATATTTGGGGTTCTTAGAACTGACGGCTTCTCTGTGGACTCTCACTTAAACCTAAGCATTTAAGTCCAAACTGTGTTTCAGTCCCTTTAACACTGTAAAATTACTAATGGAAAAATAGGTACAGAAAGATAATGAAGTTGGAAATATTTTCCTTCTCAAGCAGGCAAATATGGCTCAAATGATGTATGTTTTACTCTTTTATATTTCCAGGGCAACATTTTGAGTCTAGAAAGGTCAGTACTGAGATTTTATTTTGATACATGATATGACCTAATTCTTTCACATTTTGCAGGAATCTAAAGGGGGTAGGTGGTGTCTCCATCCTTTTTTTTTTTTTCCTCTCTGATGTAAGTCGACCCTGCCACAGCTACGATGCCTTCCCATAACTGTAGTGTGATCAGTGGGTTTGGAGTGTGGTATGAATCAATTATTGTAAGTAGAGCCCCTGCGTATATCATGCGAAAGCAAACTCGGGATTCTAAAATGAAAATTTGACCAGAGTCTCAATAATGAGGGTTAACTCCTGACTGTCAGGGAAAGCGAAGTTTTATCCATGTCCTAAGGTACATGTGGATATTCGTTAAAAGAGGTCAGATTGAAAGAGGCATCAAAAGGCACATCTAGTAGCCCCATTAAAGGTAAAAATCGATGATAAATTTCTCCAGTTTGTGTCAAAAAGAGGAAGATTCCAGAAGCATATTTCACGAAATGGCAATATGTTTGTGATTGAGAAATAACGGTACGAACAATGAAAAATAACAAAGTCGTTTTTTTGTATTTGTATTTTTAAACTCTTTCAAAATAAAAAACAATCAAGAAAGAAATTAGGACAACCCATGGTCAGTTTTAGCAGTTCTTGGAAATGGATATTTTCCAACTGGGGAGAACAATGGAATGCAAAGTTTTCACAGAACCAAAGGAGGAGAAAAACATTAATTTCACTATTTTTTTATAACACTGCCCAGAGGCAGGCAGATTCTAGCAGGATAGGGAGACTGGGTTTAAATAATGGAGTTCCCTCATGCACATTCCAGCAAGTTCTGCTTGATTTTCTTTCTTTTCACATAACTGTCCTTTGTTAATTTGTCATAACTAGTTATTTAGTAATTTTACAATTTACTATTGTAAATGCCACAGCAGAAACATAAATTCTAGTGGCTATTATGTGCCCTTACCAATTTTCTGAGATACTTCAGTGCGTACGCTTATGATAGGGTTTATGTGTCGTGTTAAAAGAAAAAAAACACAAAACTGTTGTGAATGATCTAAACAAGATCTGCTTTTTTCTGGTTTATCCTGTTTCAATCACACACTTCTTATTTAGATTATGCATCACATAGAATCAGATATTAATTAAACCAGCACCTATTAAAGTCTTAATATACATAAAAACTGCAATACTGATGTTCTTTGATTATTTTTACATATTGTTTCTTAGACTATATTACTATTTAATTTCAGGCATTATATACAAAAATTAAAATCCTGATCCTTTAAACACATGAAATATAGTCTTACACTGAATTCAATATTCTCAACACAATATAAATTTATTCTTTTACTGAGTTATATATAATTTTAATGACTTTTCTTTGAGCCAAAGTATATACAAAATAAAAAGTATAGAACTGTTTAATTTTTGCCATTTAAAAATGTTAAACTAAATATGCTAAATCAAATTATACTTATTTCTCCAATAAGAAAATTAGGAATTTTGGCATATATATTTTTAGATATTAGTGAAAAATAACACCCATGCAATAGTTAGATTTCATGTAAAAAATATACTCAAATAGTATTTTCCCACCAGGTTTTTTCAAGTTAAAAAAACAACAACACTTTTTATATTCTTAAATTTTCATTTTCCATTTTTTCTATGTTGTTTTAAATATAGCCTTATTTTTACCATAAATTTATGTCACTTCTTTTCAAACGAAGAGCTCTATTATTGATGTGCATGTATGAACAAAAACAGACATCTCAAAATAAATACAAATCTCACAAGAGGGAACCGGAAGAGGAGTACTTACATAGAAACTGTGAGTGTGGGTCTGAAACGGACTAAATCAATGTCTACGAATTCAATTCAAAGGCAAGTTTTTAAGTCGTGTGCTGGAATTGAAAAAGAGAAATGATTTCGGGACAGTGAGCATTTACAAATAAAATACCTATATCTACACTGCCAGGCAGGAATTTAGATTTGCAGTAAAAGTCTGCCACCTGGTGGCAGGAAAGGGGAGCATCAGAGAGGAGGCACCTCCTGGCTTTTATATAATAAAAACCAAATAAAAAGTTAGAGAATTCTCTTTCTATCTTTTAGACACTGAACATCACCTCCTTTGAATGATTTTACCATGAGTCCTCTTCTATATTTCTATTTCCTAAGTGTTGTTTGTGTTCAAGATATTTTTTAAAATAGGATGGAAATATTAGTTTGCAGTTATTTGTAAAATAATGTTCATTTAGAAATAGTTTAATACTTGATTTATAGAAAGTTATTTTCATACTACACCTTTAAAAAATAAATGAACCTCTTCTAAATCTCCCCAATAAACAAATAAAAACATTTAAACTTCACCAAGACAGTTAAAGTCATTTTTAAACGAGAACATAAAGAATGACAACAAAGTTTTTCAACTTTCAGTTCAAAGTTAACCCTCGTTCCTGATAAACATTAAAAAGACAATTCATAGGAAAGAAGCATTGAGAAGTAATGTGCTCTTAGCCATAATACTACCTTTTTATTAAATGGTCCACAGAATCACAAAATTGGTTCAGCAAACTATGTCCTAAGACTAACAGCCCACTACAGTGAAATATGTTTATACTATCTAACAGTAACCCTGCTTCAATTATGCAGTAAGTAAATCACAATCACAATTTTAAAAAGAAAATGAATAATAATAGAAAAATCTAGTTTCTGAAATATTATTAAGGCATTTCCTCTGATGATTTAACATTATTAATATTTTAATACTTTAAAAATATTGCTATATCAGAATAAGAACTTTTTAAAATATATTTTACTGATTTTTTACAGAGAGGAAGGGAGAGGGATAGAAAGTTAAAAACATCAATGAGAGAGAAACATCGATCAGCTGCCTCCT